AGTCTAATATTTTGTTTTGCACCACAGAGAACCACTGTGCCGACGCCGATCCTGATTGGTCTCTATACTGCAGACTCCTACATAAACTCCCCAGGCTGCCATCTTTCAGATGACACTATCACACCTCATTACAGGTGAGGACGACTGAGAACACAGACTGGATCCAGAACGTTCTACACTGGTGTCAGCAGAACAAGTGCAAACTCAGCAATTGGACATCTAGGGTGATCATCTGAGGGACTGATGTGGAGATAATGGACTCATAAGTGTTACACTTACCCTTTTTAACAAAGTATTCATGAATCAGTGCTTCTATGTTCCTTTTGTATTTCTACTTGTGTCTCCTTGAACCACCCAGTCAGACGCTCATCACTGATTCTGGTTCTGCTCAAGGTTCTTTCTGTTTTACTTTAGCAAAATAAACTGGAGCTGGAGTAAAATCAATGAATCCCTTGATTAGAAGGTTCAAAGCAGACTCTACCTGCTGAGAGGAAGAACTTCTTAGACTCTATGGTGGCATCAATTATCTTTTTATGTGGCCTGTTGGAGCAGCAGCTTATGTGTAGCCAATGAGGGAGCAGATGTCTAATCTGGGTAGGAGGTCCGGCTCTGCCGTAGAAACCCCCAGAACTGTGAAGTTGGGTGGAGGTTTGACAGGACCCAAATGCAGACACTGAAGCTGAAGGTGGTTACTTGCAGATTTGATAACAACAAAAAAAAAGGGTAACAGAAGCAAAACACAGATTTTAAGAGAGGATTTGTTTTTAAATAGAAATTTTCTAAATTTTGGACAATATCGTCTGATAAAGAGTACATTTATATACATGTTAAGGCCAGAATTATTTGACATTTTAATACAATTTCCCTACGACTTTAAAGTGCTGCTCTGTGTTTTTGTACATTAATGCCTGTATTTGCAGCTTTTACCTGCCCCATAAATGTTTTCCACATCCATGTTTTAATCTCTTGAGAGGCTGCTGCTTTTCTTGGACATTTTTCATTTTATCTGAGTATGCATTTTCTTCCCCAATAACTGCAAAGTATATATTGCTTTATGTTTTTTCTTTGCTGTAGAACCTATTTCCAACTAACTTTTTATGTTGCCTTTCAAACAACTGAATTTCCCCACTGCAGGACTATAAAGGGTATCATTTGATCCTATTTTTCCCACACCAAGAGACTGATATTTCTGTCCATTATTTTTCTAGAAAAAAGCTGAATCTCAGTCAATTTAAATCCTCCAAACCAGCTTTATTGTAGCTTAACACCGAATAGAAGTGGGAAAAAAGAGAAATATTACATCTAACTATCAAATGATGAAAAATTTCATCTAAATGAATAATGACGACTTTTGCTCTTGACTATGTTTTTTGTTGGGGTTCAATATGAAGTTAGAAAAAGGAAAGCACAACTAAAGTTACTTTCTTCCGCAGCTCACATCTGCAGCCAGTTTTTTGCTTTGCTGTCAATCAAAGCCTGTATTATTTATTTTTGGGAAATCATGAGTGAAAAACAACATGCAAAATGAATGAAGGCCATAATTAACAGGCAAGCAAAATGCAATCAGCAGCAGAGTAAGCAGGCAAGCTGCTACGTCTAAATAAAAAATGCAAACTCTTACATTTTCTGCTGGTCTTTAATATTGCCTTATTTTTCCAATTTCCTTGAATCTAAATGAAGTTGTCTGAGCCCACCCCCCCCAGGGCCCGGCCGCGGCCCAATCGGCTCCACCGGCCCAATGCTGGAATTCACTGGAGCAAGGCAAATTTGTTTCTCTCAGTTGTTTGTTTGCACTGGTGTTTGTTTCTCTCATTGTTTGTGTTTATGCGCCTTTTCCCATTGATGGCCTTCTCAAGTGTTTCTCTGACTCTGGCAATTTTCTGCCTGGTCGCCTCTAATGTGCTTCTCTGTTTATCTGCTGTCACAAAAGAGCTGATTTATATACATTTACAAATCCAGGAAGTGACAGCAGAGAATTATATTTACCTCAAAAGGGCAAAAAACAAGTTATCTTTTTACACGCGCGTGGAGGAGAAAAGGGAATCTTTCTGAGTTTACCAACACCGCATTTTCACAGATGCTATGAGTTTTATGAGATATGAAGTGAAGTCAGCCTCAAGAAATATGACAAATGCCTTTGGGAATATAACCAGTGTACTGTGAATTCAATCACTCCGGCAACTGACTGCTAATGACACAGGGGGAAACTTTCCCAGGCAGCAGTGATGGGCAATATTGCCTTCAGCGGGGGCTACCAACTGGCAAATTGGAACAAAATCGAGACTAGAGGAGATAAATGTTTGACAAAACTACCGCTGTTGGCCAAAGTGAGCATATGCGTGGCTTCAAAATAGTACCTATTCAATGACAGAGAGAACACAGGGATGCATCTGAAGCCTGGAGCTGTCTCCTCACTGTCTGCTGCGTCAATAACAGTGATCCATCTATGGTTGTGGGACGAGTACGATTTCCTGTGTCGTTTCCTCTTTTGCACACCGCTCTGCTGTCACTGTTAGCTCTCCTAAACACTTAAACAACCTGCAGGGGGGTTCTTCCACTCTTATAAGCATGTAGACGTTAACACATTCATCTGTAACTCTTATTAAAGTGTGGGAAAAGTTTTAATATACATACTCAGATTATACTGCAGGAGCGTCATATCAGACAAGTTGTCAAATTTGTTGGCATTACCTCTAATTTTGGAAGATTTTTTTGTGGAAGATGTATTTATTTATTGCAGGTACATCTAACTAGCTGAAGTAAATATTGCATTTTTTATACTTAAACTAAGCCTAACCCCACGTATTTCTGGTGGAAGATAAAAAGAAAAAAAGATTCATGCTGGTCATGAGGTAAAAACATATGTTTAAAAGTAAATATATCTTTAATAATTCAGGATTAAAATAAATACTGATATTATTTACAGCATGTATTGCAAGTTAATAAATTATTATATTAATAAATAGAAATATTGCCTCTTTTTAATGTACTGAATACTGTATGTGGCCCTTTTGGCATTCCATACCTGCTTTAGGTTTAGTTTATCCTCGTTATAGACTTCTGCAACATGTTTAAATTTGAAGCATAAAATATTATGGACAAAGTATTTCTTTAGCATTTGAGGTTCTACAGAAGATTTGTCTATTTATTCACCTTCAGTTCTGCACCTGGTTGATCCTGATTTTGAAGCTGTGGATTTTGTAGCTGAGTCAAAGAGTTCAGTTTATGTTTGAAAGAGATGGAGCTGCTGACTAACCCAGGCAGGAGAGAAACATTCAGCCTCCACATTTTCTGGGTCTCTACCTGCTGCCTTTTGTATTTTACCAGAGTACCTTAATAAATGTTTAAAAAAGCCACGTCAGCGACCAAACCATTTTGAGGCAATGGTAGGTACTCCCCCGATGCTGAAATGGCAAATTGGAAGAAACAAATAAAAGATTATTATCTAATTTTACATAATTTACATCTTTTAAAGTTATTGGCTATACGTTTGAAGGGCTGGTTCTGGGCCCTCTCCCCAGGGCCTGTGACCCGGTTTTCACCCAGTCGCCTGGCGGGACTGGGAAGGATCCTGGAGAATCAAGGCAGCACATGACCGACACAACGTCATAATCTCAACATGGTGGTTTGGTCATATGAGATGAAGATTCAGCTACAAATGCAGATCAGATTTAAATGTGGAAAACCCTTTCATGTCCACTGAAAATGAGTCAGCATTGTGCTATGCAAAAGTATAATACAAAAGACAGTTTAACCATAGTTTATGTTGAGCAAAGTCCTTAGACATGCATATTGTATTTTAAGTTAAGTAATAATTAAATAATTAATAATAATAAAAGACATGCATATTGTAAAAATCCTTGCTGTGCTTGATGGAAAGGAAATGTTCTTAAAGCTGTAAAAAGAAAAACAAAATTTAACACTCTCTGTATACAAAATGGCAGTAAAAGTGTCTAAAAAGACAAGCTGTAGAAAAGTAGAAAATAACTTGAATGAAAGTGTTTAAGCTAAATGTTTTTGTCTTGCTAGCTTTTTATTTTAAGACTTTAACAAATCGTCGCTGAAGCTGTCAACAAATTTGTTAGTCTGTACATAAACGCCCCCTAGAAAAAAGTTCCACAGATGCTTTAAGTTAAACTCAGCATTGATGCACACAGAAAATCATACACCAAACACTCTGAACAGAGACGCACATAGAAACAGACCCACACACACCTACTCCATGCCCACCCACACTGAGTGCACCAATGGCATGTTTTTTCTGATTATACCCTTTCAACATCTCAGTTTTCTTCCCAAAAAAACAAAGATGGAAGTGAGTGAAAAACCAAGAGAAAAGTGGCAGGAGCAAATGAATAGCTGAGTGTTCTGGTATCCACGGAGCACAAAAGAAAAAGAAGAAAAAAAAGAAATCTGACAACTAACAAAATGGAAGCAATGCCACAGGAAGTTTGGGGGAAATATGTAGCGTTAAGCAAAGATGAAACTTTGCTGCAGACAGCTGACATGAGGATGGCTTTTTTTTTTTTTTTTTTTTTTTTTAAAGAATGCTTCCAAAATACATTTCAGATTTTTTTTGTCTACATGAATGTCTACACTTTTTGTGCAGAAGCCAAGAAGAATCATAGAATCTGACAAAGACTGGGGTCCACGAGTGGATAAGGGCTTTCATGCAACTATAACATTTGGGACGACAGCACTTGCCTCCATTTGCATTCCCATTCACCCGACTTGTTTATAAGTGAATAAATCTAGCTCTGCTTAGAGAGCAACAGCTGCTGCTGGGCCACTCACAGCAGCACTCATTCATCCAATCGCATACACACATTCAGACGCTGCACGGCTCCCAGCTGCACTAGCAAGAATTGCCATGCATCCATACTTGCACACATATGGGTGTACGTATGTGTGGATGTTTGATCATATCATTCATCCTTGGAAAAGTATTCAAACCATGTTTTATACAGCTGTTTCCGAGCCTGCATGTGTAACTTGTTCACCTGTGAAGTGTTGACTCTACCCTCCTGGAAGGAGCAGTCGCTGGCGTCCTGAGTGCACATGTGGCGGTATTTGCACCAGTGGCAGGGAAAGTTGGCGTTGACGCAGGACAGGCACCTGAAAGCAAGAGAGAGTTTGAAAAAAACAGGGTTAGCTGAAGGTTTAGACTTTTAAAGCGGCAGTAAAATCAAACAGATTTTTTGTAGAGGCTTATGTGAATCACTGCTTTCACAAAAGAAAGGGTAGAGCAAGGTCTGAAGGAAGGAAACCTAAAAGAAGCATGAACTATTTGGGAAAAAAACATTTTGAAATGTTCAATGAAACTACAAAAGGTCAAAAACCACTCTATAGATTTGAAGGGACCCTCTAAAAGCCTCTGTCAGACTTCTTTGCCTTTCCATTAGGCTGAGAGGAACTTTATGTGTTGCTTTATGTCTAAACGAGGCTCCATAAAGGTTTCGACAGTTGCTTTGCATCCACATACTCCATCCAGTTTAACTTCTAGCATTTGATGTGCTCTTTGTAGCATGGAGAGAACCACAGAATCCAACTTCAATATATAAACACTTCCCTATGCTTGCAAACACTAGAAGATTAGAACTAATCTATTAAATAGACATTGCCCTTGACATTGTCCAAATGCAATGTTAATAATTCCTAAGCTGTTAAGTTAATACAGGTCAAATGAATGCTCTTTAAATTAATAATTTCTTTCTCTGCTAAGTTTAAATCTCATTAAATGCAACAAAATCCTTTCTCCTTTGCTGATAATATTGTAGAGCCCACCTCAGGCCTTGGGCTACTACTCCTACCAGAAAGAGATTTTTCTATTGGAAGGTTTTGGAATTTTCTTCCTTCTCTGAAGGTTAAACATAAAGGTTATGTATCCATTGTTCATGAGGCATATTCATCTGTACATACTGATGCTGTCAGACTTTCTCTAACCCTTCGGAAAATATATTTAACCATCTTTCTTCTGACTCTTGTTTTACATTACTAACTATGCCCCAACCAAATGATCACCTTGAACCAACTGCACATTGTTAAGGCCACAATTTTGACTCATGTCCAATAGACGCCCTGTCTTCCAAAATGATTCACTGGCCTTTGACCTTTTCACATTTAATCACATTAAAACCCAATTTCATAATGTATTTTATTATATTGAGATTCACAGTAGTCAACTGCAAAGTCAGCTAAGTAGAAAATAGAGCTAATCTGTAATGCAAGTCTAAATTAAGGTATTTTATAAAGGCCTACCATCACATACATCAGAGGCCAAGAGGTACAATAATTCTAAAGAACATGCTTTGATCTACAATATAACACAAATGAGATAATCTGCAAAACTAATAAGAAAAAAAAATCTGGGATTATAGAAAAGCAGCAGAAACAAAACCTTAAGAACTCTATTTTTTAGATTGTGAAAAGCAAACGTGAAAGAAGCTGTACTTTGTGGTTGAGATCAAAACTGAACCTTTAGCTCCAATCTATAGCTTTGTCTCATTCCTGTCTGCACTTATCATCTTCTCCCTTTTGTCTTTAGTTGAGTCTATTTTAACCTCCCTCTCAACATTGGGAGGTGACTCTTTGTTCTTCTTGTTTTACAGGAAAACCTAAGACAACATGTGATGTGATACATATATATATATATATATATATATATATATATATATATATATATATATATATATATATATATATATATATATATATATATATATATATATATATATATATATATATATATATATATATATATATATATATATATAGAGAGAGAGAGAGAGAGAGAGAGAGAGAAAGTCATAACAGTACAGAAAACAGTACAGTACAGTATGGTCTAAAGCAGTGTTTCCCAACCTTTGGCCATTTTGTGTTGCCATGAGTAACCCTATCCATGAAAGGTGTTGATGATGGATTTTTGTATTTCAAATAAAATAAAAACAAATACAAAATTAAATCATACTAAAAACCTGTATTTAGAAAACAGAAGCTCCCTTATAATCATATTTAAACTTGATGAATTGGGAATAAAATACAGAACACAAATTATAGTCAGACTGACTTAATTAGTTTTACTTTGTTTTCATCAAAACTGCTGAGCTGCTTTGATGAGCTCCGATAGCTCAGTGAAAACCAGCTGATACTGAAAGATTTCTTCAAGTGGTTTCCCACCTAACACTGCCTATTGTAGGTGTGGTAAATAATGAAATGGTTATTCTCAGTTTTTGAGAGGGTGGACTTATGTCTTTTGTTTTATTTTCTTTGGGGTTGTTGTTTAATGGTAAATGTATGGAATTTACTTGTGTTTATTGTAATTGTAAAGTTATTGTAAAGTTTAGATAAGAGTATAATAATAATAATACCAATACCCAATACCTGGCTGTGCATTATTGGCCGATACCAATACCATACTGATTCCATCTGTTTGAAAATGATGTGTGTGTAGATATGTAGACCTACATACTACTTGGATGTAAAATAATTGACATCATGGCTTTGTCAAGCTGCTGCCTACCTTTGTGAAGCAGGAAAAAGAATAATAGAAAGTGAATCCAGTAGAACTTTTTATTGCCTACCAGGAATTGATAACAATAGTCGACCAAACTTTTGACTCTCAAAATGTTATTGGTGCCCTATTTGTTGGTACTCGCCCCGCCCGATACTGCTATTGGTATCAGTGCAACACTAGTTTAGATCATTATGCCTCTCCCTCACATTTCTTTCTTTTCAGTTCTTCATTAGTGTCTGTTAATGTATTTTTTTTTTGTCAACTACAGACCTTTGTTGTGTTTTATTATCCATACTTTTTTTTTCGTTTTAGTAAAGTAGTATTTTATGCTAACCTGCATAGCTGCAGGGTTGGCGGGCAGTTGGGATGTTGCATTTAGTGCTACCTCCCTCACTAAGTAACAGGAGGCAGTGGATAAAGGTTGTGAGTTAAGAGAAAAAACAACCCACTGATGTTGCAAGCATGTGCAGTGGAGATTATTTGACCTCAAAGTTACGAATGGGTTTCTAACACCTCTTTCTTTCGGGAATGAAAATTCTTTCTGATCCGATTACAATCTTTTTTCTGAAATGATTGCATGAAGCATTTTTGACCTGATAAGGCCTTCAATCCATAAACATAGGCAATGTTAGAGTTTCTGTAGGCTATGGAGTCCTTACCTAATGTTAACTACCTAAACAGTCTTATAGCCTTCTCTAATTGAGATTTATGATATGTTATTTATGATCTCAGACACACATAAATAAATTTATTAGCACTTCCAACACACATAATAAAAAAAATAAAAATCTCCCACCTGATAATAATTGTACTGAATTGAATTCTTACAGATTATCATCAAACATGTCAAGAAACTTTAGTGACAGTGAAAACCAGGCAGAAAAAAATCCGCCCCAAAAACTCTGACAGCCTGAGCCGAACACGCTTCGATAGTTGCACAACATTAAAAGTTTATGTTCAAATTTCCATAAATTATGCTGGAAATACAAATGTAACTATAGTCTCTGGCATCTTGATTTTATTCCAGCTGTCGGGAAGGCCAAGGCGGATGCTGAACACAGCTGAGGGAGAGAGAGAGAAGAGGCAGAGTCGGAGAAGCACTCCCTGCTTCTTATTCTCCATGCTTGGAGGCTTAGTAAGAACTAAGCTGGCAGACTAAGATAAGCCTGTTTTTCTATAACATTCTTTTTCTCTTTTCATTCATTCAGAGTTGAAGAGGCAAAATGAATATATACACATTCAAAGATGGATTAGAAGACAAAAACAAGGCTATCATGGTGGAATGGAAGAGAATACTGCGCACAAATTAAACAGCTAGTTAAAGTTTTTAATTTACTCAGTGTCAGACATTCAGCAAAAAGGGAGATGACAGTAAGAAATAGGAAAAACAACATTTTCTCTTAAAGCTCCTGCTTGATCACATCTTTTGCAAGTGTATTCTTATCAGTGCTGGACTAAATTACATTCTGCTTTCTGTCAATCATGTAGCTCCTGCATGAAGAAACACAGCGTCTCTTTTCCTAATCTCACTCATATAGCTGAGAACATGCAGTCATTCAACATGCAAATTTAAAAAGTGATAAAAAAAAAATAAGTCGGGTTTCGAAAAAGGCATTTGTGTTTAATGTTGTTTTCCTAGTTCTAACATTAGATTTCAACAAAATGCGATTGAACTGCAGCATGTAAACTTGTGCTTAATTAACCGTTGTGTAAATCCTGCCCCTGTCAGAGCAGTTGGTCTGAACTCCAACACCGCCCACGGTCAATGTTCAGTAGATTAGATCCCCTTAAACTCCACTGTCTCTCCCTCCCTATACTATAGGTCAAAGAGAATCTTATTTATCTGGAAAAAGAACGGAGACAAATACAAATGTCTGCCTTGCATTAGATCTTGTAAGTAATTAGCAGCCTGTTATTTTGCTGCAATTCTAAACCAACATTTGTTTAAACATGTAAACATCAATATATTGAAAAGGCCTTTTAGCATTGCCATTTTTTTATTTCTCCAACCTTCTTTTTTATTTCACTTTTTAATAACTAAAGCAGGACTTCCAGAGAGCAAGTGAGGGATTACTGAAGAGTCAACGACAAAATGCAGGCGAAGATCGTCGCCGTAGGCTCATCCAGGTGGAGCGTGTCTTGCAAGTCCTTGACTGGATGCCATGAACTGGTTCTCCAAACATCTGATGGTATCGTCTCTGTAAGGTGCCTTGAATGACATGTGCTTTGGATTGGCACCATTTAATTAAACTGATTTCAACTGAATTGACATTGCAAACGGTAAAGCCCGAAAGACTTAAAATAATTTAAGTTTAAAAAAAAGAAGAAGGAAAAACAATGGAAAATGTAGATTCAATTTAAGGTTTTAAAGTATATCTAAGCTTCAAAAACACAATATCATATTTCTATATAGAAAGGCAGTCAAGTTTTCTTTAGGCTCACTCAGGTCCAGAGGTGCCAAGTAATTAAGTACAAATACTTTGCTAGTCTAATTAAGTACAATTTTTAGGTATGTATACTTTACTCCTTTACTTATTTTTCTGCCTACTTCTGACTTCTACTCATTACATTTTCACACAAGTATCTGTACTTTCTATTCCGT